GCAGAATGATGGCATGAACCCAGGAGTTTGAGGTTGTTGGGAGCTAGGCTGACACCATGGCACTATAACCTGGGCAACAAAGTGAGACTCTGTCCCAAAAATAAATACATTATTTTACAGAGTTTGAGTTATTTTCCATTGACACCAGAATAATCATTATGGAATCCAATGGTAATATTTTTTCCAAAAGTTACACTGTTTCATGTTTTCTACTCCAGAAATGTGGTGTTTTATTTGTAGCTGGTTGTTCTAGCCCCTGGTTCAAGATGGCAGGGATACATACAGGTAGCCAGCAGGAGCCAAGCTGCAGAAGTCAGCGAATGCCCCGGGAAAAATCCCAGCGGAAGAAAACAATATTTGAGAAAAGAATGCAAAACCCTCTCAAACAATTAACACCTTGGGATCACAGCTTTAATTAAAAAAATTGAAAATACTTGTTGGGGATGAGTGCTGGGACTGGGGGCCAGTGTGATGTGTGGTTTTCTGACTGATAAAGGACTTGAGGCGGCTGGTCTGGCAGAGAAAGCGCTGGGCTCAGCAGGTTCCCACAGTGGAAGCAATTTGGAAGTGGTTTGGAGGACAGCAATTCCCCACCCAAAAGGTCTGAACAAACCCAAACCAGAGCTTTTTACACAAATGATTAGAAATGAAAGCAAAAATTTTGTCAAGGCAAAGGTGTGTGCAACATATTGGCCCCTTGGTGTCATTTGAGGGAAATTAATGTGGAAGGCCAAAGAGATGGAGTCTGCAATATGCAACACTCCCGAGACCTGCCTGTGATTTTGTTCCTAGTGTAGCAGAAATAAATGCTCCCAGTAAGCCTTCAGGGAGACCTGAGACATGTACATAAGTAAGATTAATCAGTAAGGCTAGCATGGACCTAATGAGTCATCTTCGACATCATAAACCTTGAAAAATTCAAAGTTGTGCCCAGGCAGGTCTGTGCACTCTCAGCAGAAGCAACGGGAGCCACCCACCTGCCCGGGGCAGCTCTCCAGCGCCTGGGCTCGAGAGGAAACAACAGCAAATGGCGGTGCTCTAGGTCTCACGGACCTAACGTGAGGAGACGGGGTGGGTGCTGGAGTGGAAAAAAAACGAAGGTTTGGGGACTCATGCACCTTGTCCCCTCCAGAGCCCTCCCTCTCTCCAACCCTGGGGGCTGAGTTTCCATCCAAACAAAGGACCCCTTGGGACTGCAGGGAGGTTGGGAGGAGCGTTCAGGGCCTGCAGGATGGGCCCTGCTCTGGGTCCTTCACCCCACATTTCCATCGTACCCTCCGACAGCGTGTGACTGTTCGTATGATTCCCACTTTTCAGATGGACAAGTCGGGGTTCTGAGCTGTGTGAAGCTGAGGTCAGAGCTCACCTGGGAAACTCCGGGCTCAGGTTTCTGATTTAGCAGGACCTCCAAGTGTGTGGGAGGGTGAGAAGTTTCTGGGCCAGCAGCAGAGGGTTGGAGTGGACTTCTGACCACACGTGCTGGCAGTTCTTTGTCCCACTTGTCACCAGATGCTTTGGGTCAGCCCTCACCTGGAATTAGCTCTGCTTCTCTGCCGAGTGTCTGCACCTGCTCACAAGCCTCCTTTATTTCCCTTGAGCCTGAAAATCTCATCATATTCTCTCACCTGCCACCCACCAAATGCAAATCTCCAGCCCTGGATCAGACTGCAGACGGCACACTCCCCAGTGTTTCCCAGTCCTGCAATCTTCCTTTAAACACTTGGAATGCTGAAACCCACCTTGCCTCCACTGACTGACTCCATCCAGTTGGGCGACAGCATGCCCCAAGAGCCCCAAATACTTTATGGCTAGCGCCTCCCGAAAGAACAGCCAGCCCGCCACTGTGCAAAGCCAATTCCATGGGAGCAGCATCCTCCACGCAGAGACTGTGCCACCCTGCGCCAGTCAGTGCTGGCTGGCTCACCACCTGCACCCAGAACACTCCGGCTACTGCATGGTTGGCTGCCTGGCTCACCCCACACCCCCGCCCCAAGTGCTGGTGCTAATAGGCTCCAGAAAGGGGATATCAGATTTCGGTTTTCAGAACCTTATCCTACCTGCCGTGTGGCAAGTGGGTGGTGGCAGCTGTGGGGCGGGGGTGGACAGGCTGGAGGCAGGTGGCTGCTTAGGCGGCTTCTGCAGTTGTGCAGGAGAGATCAGGCTGCAGTCATGAGACAGAGCAGGAGAGATCTGGAAAACGCTTTGGATCAACCCAGCAGATCTCAAGGGTGGATTTGATGGGAGTGTTAGGGAAAGGAGGAGTTAGGGATGGGCGGGAGAACTGACTTACTGACATGGGGAAGCCTGGTGAAAAGCCACCGTGGGCCACAGGATGGAAAGAAGAATGTCAGGGCTGGGCTACATTACAGACCTCTCAGACATCTGAGTGGAAATTCCAAGTTTGCAGTCAGATACGTAAGTCCAAAGTTGAGAAGAGAGGTCCAGGGTAGAAATACAAGTGTGAGTGCTCAGTAGGGTCCTGCGTCACTTAACAACAGGGACACATTCTGAGAAATGAGCTGTTAGGCAGTTGCGTCGTGGTGACGCATCATGTAGTGCATGTACACAAGCCTGGATGGTACACCCCACTGCACACCCGGGCTGTGTGGTACGGCCTGTTGCTCCCAGGCTACACACCTGGACAGCGTGTTACTGTGCTGAATACTGTAGGCAGTGGCAACACAATGGTAAGGATTTGTGTAACTAAACATAGCAAAGGTACCGTAAAGTGGTGGCTCATGCCTACAACCCCAGCACTCTGGGAAGCCAAGGTGGGAGCATGGCTTGGGGTCAGGAGGTGGAGACCAGCCTGGGTAATATAGCAAGACCTTGTCCCTGCAAAAAGTAAAAAAATTAGCTGAGCATGGTGGTGCACATCTGTAGTCTCAGCTACTTGGGAGGCTGGGGCAAGAGGATCAGAGAGAGCTATGATCATGCCACTGCACTCCAGCCTAGACAACAGAATGAGATGCTGGCTCTAAAAAAGAGAAAAAAAGGAGAAAGAAAAAAAATGTACAATAAAAATACAGTATAAGAAAGAAAACGGTACAGCTGTATAGGGCACTTACCCTGAATGGAGCTTGCAGGACTGGAGGTTGCTCTGGGTGAGTCAGTGAGTGAGTGTTGAGTGAGTGTTAAGTGAATGTGAAGGCCTAGGTCATTGCTGTACACTACTATATACTTTATAAACACTACAACATTTTGGGCTGGATGATAAGATTAATTTAAAAAACACTATAAACTTAGGCTATGCTAAATTTATTTTAAAATTTTTATTTCTGGCCAGGTGCGGTAGCTCACGCACTGGGAGGCCAAGCACTCTGGGAGGCCAAGGCAGGTGGACTGCTCAAGGTCAGGAGTTTGAAACCTGCCTGAGCAAGAGCGAGACCCCGTCTCTACTATAAATAGAAAGAAATTAATTGGCCGACTAATATATATAGAAAATTAGCCGGGCATGGTGGCGCATGCCTGTAGTCCCAGCTACTCGGGAGGCTGAGGCAGCAGGATCGTTTGAGCCCAGGAGTTGGAGGTTGCTGTGAGCGAGGGTGATGCCATAGCACTCTAGCCCAGGCAACAAAGAGAGACTCTGTCTCAAAAAAAAACAAATTATTTCTTCAATAATAAATTAATTTCAGTTTACTATAACTTTTTAATTTATAAACTTTTTAATTTTTTAAAACTTTGACTCTTATAACAAAAATTAGCTTAAACGCAAACACATTGTACAGCTGTACAAAAACATTTTCTTTATATTCTTATTCTATAACCTTTTTCTCTTTTTAAACTTTTTTAAATTTTTTAAACCTTTTTTGTTAAAAAACTAAGACACAAACACACACAATAGCTTAGGCCGACACAGGGCCAGGATCATCAACATCACCGCCTTCCGCCTCCACGCCTTGTCCCGCTGGAAGGGCTTCAGGGGCGACAACATGCATGAAGCTGTCGTCTCTTATTTTAACAGGGCCTTATTCTGGAACACCCCGTGGAGGACCTGAGGCTGTTTTACAGTTAGCTATTTTTTTTTAATAAGTAGAAGGAGTATGCTGTAAAATAATGATAAGAAGTATGGTGCAGTAAATACATAAACCAGTAACATAGTCATCTATTATGAACTATTACATACGTATCCAATTGTGTGTGCCATACTTTTACATGACTGGCAGCGCAGTAGGTCTGTGTACACCACTTCTCTATGAACATGAGAGTGACGCATTGTGATAGGCTGGTGCGCTGACTATGACATCACTAAGCCACAGGAATTTTTCAGCCCCATTATAATCCTGTGGGACCCCGTCATACATGTGGTCCGCTGGGGACCCGAACGCCGCTGTGTGGCACGTGACTGTGTGTGGATGGAATGAGAAGGCACGAGACCAGGTGAGAGCACCTTGGGGCAATGTGTAAACAGAGAAGGTAGGCCAGGCTCTGGCACCTCTGCCATTCAGAGGTCAAGCACAAGAAACCAGTGAAGGAGACTGACAAAGAACAGGCCACTGGGATAGGAGAAAAATTGGGAAGCAGAGAAAGTCATGAAATCCAAGAGAAGAGAGTGGCCCAATGTATTTATGCCACACACCACATGACCACTTCAAGGACCGAACAAAATGGTGTAAGTGGAAGCTCCCATGGGGACGTGCCCAAATGGGCACCTTGGTTATTACTGTGACAGGTCTGGTACCATCTGCCCTCAGAGCCTCCTGTTCTCACGAGGCTACCTGTATCCACCGGGGACCACTCTGTTCCCAACTGCCAGAGACTGTCAGCAGAAGGAATAGCAAGTACAGCGCCGTTTCCCTCAGGAAGTCCAGCAGCGCCTGTGCTGCCCACTGGGTGCCAGGGGACCTCTAACAGAAAGGGCCTGGAAGGGTTGAATGGGAAAGGAAAGTGGAGAAAGGAATGAAGAGTTTCTAGACGTCCTGTCTGAGAACCACAGTCTTCATCAATGATGCAGAAAACAAGTTTTGCCAAATAAAAAGTAGAAGAGGATTGACCCAAACCTCACTGGACACCAGATCCAAACATTACCTAGTTAGTCCTGGCTGCACCTTGACTGATGAAATGGATTATCTTATGAAGTAGGTAGGTCAACAGAAAGGTCTGAGTGGTTTGGGATAGGTATAAAGAGCATGCAGCATGAAAGCACTGTTTCCAAAGGTGAAGCAGCTTGCCATTTCCAAAGATCTCTGTTGTTTCTCCATGTCTGGAACAAGCCACCATAAAAGCTTCACAACGAGACAGAGTCAGATAATTAAATTTAGGGGTAAAGTAACCTTTTCAGAATCAGATTTTTCTGTTATGTAATGCTATATTTTAGATCTTTCTCCCTAAGTCTCTCTCTCTCTCTTTTTTTTTTTTTTTTTTGAGACAGAGTCTCACTCTGTTGCCCAGGCTAGAGTGCCATAGCGTCAGTCTAGCTCACAGCAACCTCAAACTCCTGGGCTCAAGCCATCCTCCTGCCTCAGCCTCTCGAGTAGCTAGGACTACAGGCATGAGTCACCATGCCCGGCTCATTTTTTCTATATATTTTTAGTTGGCCAATTAATTTCTATTTTTGGTAGAGGCAGGGTCTTGCTCTTGCTCAAGCTGGTTTCGAACTACTGACCTTGAGCGCCACCACGCCCGGTCTTTCAGTCTCTCTCCCTCTCTCCCTCTCTCTCTCTCTCTCTCTCTCTCTGCAGCACTATTGGCTTTTAAAATTTGGTGTTACAGATGCATCTTCACCTGGCTAAACAAGGTCCTATATTGTATTCCTTATACTGGTATTATATTCCTAATTGTAAGTAAAAAGAAAACTCAAATAAATGATATGATTATTTTGGATTTTCATAGGCCCCTGAGCTGACCCCAGCGTCTGACCTGTTGAAAAGGGGCAGGGCCCCAAGATAAGAATTAGTAGCTGGCTGCTGTGCTGCTGACGCTGACATACCCGCACCTCGGGAGCAGCACAGGAGCGCCTATGGAACAGGCCCTGAAACTTCCCGAAGTTCTCCACCCGGCATCAGAGCCTTCCATAGACCTCACAGTGTCATGGCCCCGTCCCCTGCCTTGCTTCTTCAGTTGAGTCACCACACAGCTGCCCTGGCCAGCTCTGCTGCCCATCCCAATCCTTCTTACTCTCTTGGTCAGCCGTTTCTCTGTCCTCCTACTGGACTCCGGCAACCCGTCTGGTGTGCTCCAGCCTCTCCCTGGTCCTCGGTTCTAGGCTCTGTCACCCTGTGTTGGCCCTAGAAGCTCAGCTGGAGCCCGTTCTGCTTTTGTTATCCAATCATTCACTGACCCATACACTAACACATCACACACCCACTGCTCCCCTGCCCGTCTGATGAGCATTGGTTTATCATCTGTTCTGTCCAGGTCCTGTGCTTAAGGCTGGGAAGCCAGAAATCATGAAAAATTCATAATAAAGTAAAACTAGATTTTTTTTTGAGACACAGTCTCACTCTGTTGCCCAGGCTAAGTGCTGTGACGTCATCATAGCTCACAGCAACCTCAAACTCCTGGGCTCAAGTAATCTTCCCACCTCAGCCCCCCAAGGTGCTAGGATTACAGGTGTGAGCCACCTCACTCAGCCTGTTTTCAACTCCTTTGGGTAAAGACAATACTAAGGAGCAAGTTACTGGATCATGTGGTACATCTAGTTTTGTAAGATACTGTCAAACTGGTTTCCAGAGTGGCTGGACACTCTCCATTCCCACCTGCAAGGAAGGAGAGCTCTTGTTGCCCCACAGCTTTGCCAGCATTCGGTGTTGTCAGTGTTCTGCGTTTTGGCCACTCCAATAGGTCCACAGTGGTCAAGACCAGACTTGGAGATGGAGTAACAAGGGCCATACTTATCCTCCCACCTGGAACAATGAAAAATCCTGTGAAAATGTATGAAGCATGGGTTTCAACAAGTCACACACCAGGCAGCAGAGGACAGGAATTCTGACAGATGGGGAAATGGAACGACCACCACGAGCTCCCCGGCTCACCACCTTGAGGAAGTTTCTAGCCTACGGCAGAGAGAGGGCAAACCCAAGCAGAACTACAAGACTCTGGTTTGAGAACATGCAGCTGAGAGTCTGGAACAACTGAGACAGCTGGAATTCAGAGGACACAGTACCAGAGAGGAGAGAGCCGCACAAAGAGACAATTGCAAGGACTTACAAAAGGTCTAGAGCTGCAGTCCCCAAGCCCTGGGCCATGGCCGGTGCCGGTCTGTGGCTTGTTAGGAAAACAGGGCCATGCATCAACGTCTGACCTCCGCTTCCCCCACCAACCCCAAGGTCCATGGAAAAATTGTCTTCCACGAAACCCGTCCCTGGTGCCAAAAAGGTTGGGGACCACTGGTCTAGAGTACTCAGCAGAGTACTGCTCAACATGTGTGTGGCCAGGCGCAGTGGCTCATGCCTGTAATCCTAGCACTTTGGGAGAGGCTGAGGCGGGAGGATCACTTGAGGTCAGGAGCTCGAGACCAGCCTGAGCAAGAGCGAGACCCCATCTCTACAAAACAAATAGAAAAATTAGCCAGGCACGGTGGTGCACACCTGTGGTCCCACCTACTTGGAAGACTGCGGCAGGAGGATTGCTTGAGCCTAGGAGTTGGAGATTGTAGTGAGCTATGATGATGCCACTGCACTCCAGCCTGGGTGACAAAGCGAGACTCTGTCTCAAAAAGACAAAACAAGGCCGGGCATGGTGGCTCATGCCTGTAATTCTAGCACTCTCAGAGGCCAAGGCAGGAGGATCGCTTGAGATCAGGAGTTTGAGACCAGCCTGAGCAAGAATGAGACCTTGTCTCTACTAAAGATAGAAAAATTAGACAGATGTCAGGCATCATGGCACACACCTATAGTCCCAGCCACTCGGGAGGCTGAAGCAGGAGGATTGCTTGAGCCCAAGAGTTTGTGGTTGCAGTGAGTTAGGCTGACACCACGGCACTCTACCTGGGTGACAGAGACTGTCTCAAAGCAAAACGAAAGAGACACACACACACACAAAAAAAAACCCCAAAAAACAAAATCATGTGTGTGTAAGGAAATTACCCAGGTCCAGGAAAAGAACTATCTAAAATGATTAGGAGGAGCAGGCCCAGTGCTTGTGCAGGGCTGGAACAGGCCCTTTCCACCAGGCAGACGGGACCTCAGGGCGCTCGGCGGAAGCGCTCGGGAAAGCTTGGCCGCAGTGCCGCACACTGATTGATTAGCCTGTGCTGGGCACCAGTCCAGACCCACCAAACAGATCATAAATCAAGACTTAAAGGATCAAACTGTCTCTGAGTAAATTAACTGCTTCCCAGAACGAAGCTCAAAGATTTATAGGAATGAAAGATATTCAGCACCTAATAAGGTAAACTCTCAATATCTGAGATCCAAAAGGAAAAAAAGGTTGCCAGGCATTCAGAGAGACAGGAAAACATGACCCATAGTAGTATAAGCATGTTATAAAAAAGACTCAAGTCAAATTCCTGAGATGAAAACTACATTCTATAAGATAAAAAATATACTGGGTGGGATTAATGGAAGAATGGACATGCCAGAAAAAAACATTAATGAACTTGAAAACATTATAGAAACTACCCAAAATGAAACACAGAGAGTGAAATAAATTTTAAAAATGAAAATAGCATCGCTGAGTTGTAGAGCAACTTTAAGCAGTCAGACATATATGTAATTGGAGTCCCTGAAAGAGGAAGGGGCAGAAAGTATGTAAGAAATAATGTCTGAAAGTTTCCCAAACTTGATGAAGATCATGCACTCACAGAACCACGAAGCTCAACAAACCCCAAGCACAAGAAACATGAAGAAAACTATATATACATATATCATGATTGAATTTCTCAAAACCACTGATAAGGAGAAAAATCTTAAAACCAGACAGAGGGAAAAGACATGTTTGTACAGAGGGACAAAAATAACGATGATTGCAATTTTCTATTTGGAAACAATGCAAGCAGGAACAAAATGGAGCAACATCTAGAATTCTGTACCCAACAAAAACATCTTTTCAAAACAAAGATAAAATTAAGACTTTTTCCAACACATGAAAGCCAAAAGAACTCATGATGAGTACGTCCAAAATGTGCAATATTAATAATGGAAATTCTTCAAGCAGAAGTAAAATTATACCAGATATAAATCTGGATTTACACAAAGGAATGAAGAACACCAGAAATAGTTACTATGTGGGTAAATTTGTAAGACTTTTCATTATTTAATTTGCTTTAAAAGATAAATAGTTTAAACAAAAGTAATGACAATGTATTGTGCAAAATGTATGATGATAGCATAAAGGCCAGGAGAGAGAGTAAGTATGTTATTATGAAGTTATTATACTATATGTCAGAGTTTCTCAACCACACCACCATTGCCACTTCGGCCCAGATAACCTTTCATAATCATGAAGAACGATTCTGTGATTTTAGGATTTTAGCAGCAACCCTGGCCTCTACCTACTGAAGGCCCCTAGTCTCTGGACATTGCTAACTGTCCTCTGAAGGACAAAATTGTTCCCAGTTAAAAACCAATGCTGTATGACTGTGACTGATTTGGGTTTGATACATAACAAACCCTTCAGCAAGTACTAAATTAACAAAAGAAAGAGTTAACAAGCCGACTGAGAAAATAAAATTGAATAATTGAAAACCTCCAATCCAAAGAAGGCAAGAAAAGAGTTAAAGGAAGCTCAACAAAGAACAGAAGAAATGGGGTACATAGAAAATAAATAATAAGATAATAGACTTAAACCTAACCACATCCAAACAATCACATTAAATGTATATGGTTTAGACATCCAATTAAAAAAGCAAAGATTGACAGACTGAATAAAAAAGCAACACCAAAACTACATGCTACCTAAAATATGAAGACAGACATAGATTAAGAGAATGGAAAGAAAGATGTATCATGTTAACACGAGTCAAAAGAAAGCTACAGTGATATCAATGTCAGACAAAGAAGATTTCAGAGCAAAGAATAATATCAGGGATGAAGAAGGTCATTTCATAAAGATAAAGGAGTCAATTTATCAAGAGGGCATAACAATCATAAACACTGGTGACCTTAGTAAGAAAGCTTCAGAACCCATGATGTAAAAGCCGATAGAACCGTAACGAGAAATGGTCAAATCGACAATTATAGTTGTAAATGTCAATACTCTTGTCTCAATAATTGATAGAAGAAGCAGATAGGAAATCAGCAAAGATATAGTAGACTTGAACATTCTCAACCAACTTGACCTGTTTGACATCTATAGAATGCTCACAGCGAAGTACTCATTCTTCTTCAGTGGATATTCTGGACTATAAAATTAGTCTGAATAAATCCAAAAATATTCCAGTCATATAAAGTATGTTCTCTGACCAAAACAAAATTAAATTAGGAATTAGAATGATATCCGGACAATCCCTAAATATTTGGAAATTAAATAACACACTTCTAAATAGTTGGGGGGTCAAAAAAGAAATACAAATGGAAATTAGAAAGTAGCTTGAACTGAATGACAACATGAGATGCCATAAAGCAGTAGCTGGGGGAAATGATGGCGCTACACCCCTACTTTGGAGAAGAAGAAAGGTCTCAAATGCATGCCCTCAGTTCCCATCTTTAAAAGGTAGAAAAAGGAGGTCAAATTAAATCCAAAGCAGAAAAATGAAAGAAATAATAAAGATCAATGGAGAAATCAATAAAAAAAATTTTTTTTTTTGAGACAGAGTCTTACTTTTGTTGCCCAGGCTAGAGTGAGTGCCGTGGCGTCAGCCTGCTCACCAGCAACCTCCAAATCCTGGGCTCAACGCAATCTTCTGCCTCAGCCTCCCTAGTAGCTGGGATACAGCATGCGGCACCATGCCGGGCTAATTTTTTTATAATATTTAGTTGGCCAATTAATGTCTTTCATATTTATAGTAGAGACGGGGGTCTCACTCTTGCTCAGGCTGTTTTGAACTCCTGCCTTGAGCAATCCGCCCACCTCAGCCTCCCAGAGAGCTAGGATTACAGGCGTGAACCACCGCGCCCAGCCGAAATCAATAAAATTAAAAACAGAAAAAACTTTTAGACAAATCCATCAGAAAAAAAGAGATATGTCACCAATTGTCAATGTCAGAAATGAGAGAGGTGATATCACTACAGATTCTACAGATATTAAAAGAGTAATAAGAGATTATCATAATAAATTTATACTAATAAATTCATGATTTAGTAAACTGGGTGTGGTGGTGTGTTCTTGTATTACCACGTACTGGGGGAGGAGCTGAGCAGGAGGGATTGTCTTGAGCCCAGGAGTTCAAGATCAGCATAGGCAACATAAGACCTCATCTGAAAAAATTAATTAATTAATGACTTAGGTGAAATGGACAAATTTGGCCACGTTTTCTTCTGTCTCCTTACTGTGTTTCAACTTCTTCTTCGTTTTTTTTTGTTTCTTTTTTTTTTTTTTTGAGACAGAGTCTCTTTTTGTTGCCCAGGCTAGAGTGCCATGGCGTCAGCCTAGCTCACAGCAACCTCAAACTTCTGGGCTCAAGCCATCCTGCTGCCTCAGCCTCCCTAGTAGCTGGGATTACAGGCATGCGCACCATGGCCCAGCTAATTTTTTTCTATATATTAGTTGGCCAATTAATTTTTTCTATTTATATAGAGACGGGATCTCGCTCTTGCTCAGGCTGGTTTCAAACTCCTGATCTCGAGCAATCCACCCGCCTTGGCCTCCCAGAGTGCTAGGATTACAGGCGTGAGCCACCGTGCCGTGCCCGGCCTCAACTTCTAAATGTTGAAAAACACAAGAGCCCAGCCTTTGACAATCTTCTCTTTACAGCCCAACCAACCAAGAGGTACTGAAATTACAAAATACTTAAAGATACTGAAATACAAAATACAGGGAAATTACAAAGTACTTAAAGATAAATGAAAACATAAACACAGCATCGTAAAATTTATGAAATGCAGCAAAAACAATACTCAGCAATATATAGATGTAGACACCTACATTAAAAAAAAGAAAAAAGAAAAAAAGATCTCAAATTAACAAATTAACCATAGGCATTAAAGAACCAGAAAAATCAGAGCAAACCAAGCCCAAAGCTAACAGGAATAACATAATAATAAACAGAGAGCAGAGATAAATAAAAAAGAGACTAAAAAAACGACAGACAGAATCAAGAAAATTAAAAGTTGGTTATTTGAAAAGAACAACAAAATTGATAGACCTTTAGCTAGTCTGATTAAGGAGATGCAAATGACCAAAATAAAAAACAAAAATGGATACATTACTACTGCTTTGCAGAAATAAAAGAGATTATAAGAGAATACTATGAAGAATTGTACACCAACAAATGTAATAACCCAGATGAAAGGGTCATGTTCCTAGAAACATACAAATTACCAAAATTGACTGAAAAAAACCTCCTAAGAACAATGTATATAAGTCAACAGACCTGTAACAAGAAAAGAGATTGTATTAGTAATCAAAAATTTCCCCAAAAAGAAAAGCCCAGGGCCAGATGGCTTCATTGGTGAATTCTACAAAACATATAAGGAAGAATTAACACCAATTATTTTCAAAATCTTCCCCCCAAAAAATAGAAGAGAAAGGGACACCTCCTCATTCATTCCATGAGGCCATTACACTGCAAACAACACAACTGCACACCAATTTCCTTTATGAACATAAATGCAAAAGTTCTCAACAAAATACTAGCAAACCAAATCCAACAGCATATTAAAAGGACTATGCACCATGACCAAGTACAGTTTTTTTTTTGTATAAAACATTTAATTTATTGGTCTTTTGGGGGAATTAGATATATCACCACTGCATTACAACTGAGCCATTAATCTTGTAGCTTCATCAACATGAACTGGTTCATTTTCATGACGTGGCTGAGGAATCGATTCTTTCTGCACAGGTCCAGGAGAAAGGCGCTTTGAGAAGTGTGCAGGTTCCTGTTGCATATTTACAAAAGCTTTATTCACTCTGTTAACTTTTTCATCATTCATAATGTTTATCTTCTTAAGATTAGTGGTAACTGGTTTTGCTTTGTTTTTAGCCTTAAAGTTTTTTTGGCTGGCTGTGTGAAATACATTCCTGGACTTCTGCCCTCTTAATTTGTTGTTGGCCATTGTCAGACCGTGGATATCCGCGTGCTCCTTCTTAAGGCCCAGGTGATCCCAAGTACAGTTTATTGAAGGAATATAAGGATGTTTCAACACACAAAAACATCAATCAATGTAATATATAACATCAAGAAAATGAAAGAAAAAAACCCCACATGATCATCTCCATTGATGCAAAAAAAAAAAAAGCTACAAAATGTGACATGCTTCCATGATAACAACACTCAGAAAACTAGGAATAGAAGGGAACTTCCTCAAAATAATAAAGGGCATTTATGAAAAATCTACAGCTAACATTATACTCAATGATGATAAACTGAAAACTTTTTCCCTGCTATGTTTTTTATTTTTATTTTTTTTATTTTTCTGAGACAGAGTCTCACTTTTGTTGCCCAGGCTAGGGTGAGGTGGCCAGTGGGTCAGCCTAGTCACAGCAACTTCAAACTCCTGGCTCAGCAATACTGCTGCCTAGCCTCCCGAGTAGCTGGGAGATATAGGGCATGACCTATGCCCAGCTTTATAATATAGTCCATTGATTCATTTATTTAGAACGGTCTCGTCTTGCTCGCTGTTTGAACTCTCCTAACAATCGCCCCCCCCCTACCCCTCCCAAAGTGGTTAGCGTTACAGGCGTGGCACGTGGCAGGCCCTTGTTTATTTTTTGAACGCACGCATGCATCCCTTTCACATTCATTGGTTGGAACTTAACCCCCAAGGTGACGGTGTTGAGAGGCGAGGCCCTGGAGAGGGCTCTGCCCTCAAGGATGGGATTAGTGCCCTCATAAAAGGGCTTTAGGGAGACAATTTGCCCTGTGGCCCCTTCCGTCATGTGAGGACAGGCAAGCAAAGCACCATCTTGGAACCAGAGAGCAGCCCTCCCAGACACAAGTTGCTGGTTGCCTTCGATTTGCACTCCCGCCTTAGAAGTGTAGAACTAGATGGGTATGTTCTTTTGTTAATTACCTAGTTTAAGCGTATTTTGTTACTAGGCAGCTGATATGGACTAAGGGCCCTATCGGAACAAGGCAAGTTATGCCCCTTCACCGTTGTAACTCAACACTGTCCTGGAGTTTCTAGGAAATAGGCAAGAAAGAGTCTGCATTGTACTCTACCGAGCCGAGTTGTCAGGTCAGGTTCGGAAACCAAGCTGAGCAAACAACTCTATAAAAAATAGAAAGGAAATAATCCACTATGATGAAAATTAGCCATTGTGCCTGTAGTCCAGTGTGGAGGCTGAGGCAGAAAGCAGGAGTTGGATGTTGCTATGCTCCCGCACTCACTTCCTACAACAAAGAACCTCTGTTACAAAAAAAAAAAAAAAGTCCAAAATAAAAAAAAGAAGTAAATACATCTGTTCATAGATGACACTAATCTTTATATGAAAACAAATCCAAAGAATCGATGTTTAAAAACCTACTAGGGCTAATAATGAGTGCTGCAAAGGTTGTAGAGGTACAAGACAACACACACAATCAGTGGTGGTTGCTAAATTTGCAGTAATAACATTCCAGAAAAATGAAATTAGGAAAACAATTACTGCTTGATTTGAATGTTCTTGCCTCAAAATCAGTGTTGAAAACTCTAATCCCCCCCCATATAACAGCATGAAGAGACAGGCCTTTAAAGTAGGTGGGTTTTGGTCATGAGAGCTCTGTCTCACATGGATGGAACTAAATATATGGTTATGATCTGTGGGATATCCATGGATTTCCGTGGTGTGCCACGCCACCATCAGCACTATCCGCAGGTAACGCGAGACTGGCTTGAGCTCATCGGCAGAGTGATGGAGCTTCTGAGCATACAGTAATGCCGCTACTGCTACAGGCTCCTCGCCGATCGCTGCGATGGCAGTAGAAGGAGTCGGATCACCTAGCAAACGCATCTCAAGCGAGACTGGCCCGAGACTTTCGGATGCATTCCCACGCATTCACAGATGATTAGTACGACCTACGAATACCATATAACGGCAACATTAGACTTTCCGTCTCACTAACGAGCTTATTTTGTACCAGAATGTGTGCGCCTGAATGGAGTAGACAAGTGACGATCGCGGAACTCTCTCGCGCCCACTAGGACGTGGGCGTTGTATGCACCTGGTATCACCTGACCGCTAACTTGGTGTACAGCTTACAGTGAAATTCTGGACTGAGCAACTTTGGATGGAATCTGGCCACTTCATTCAAATGTCGGGTGGGATAGGAATGCTGTCAAGATTATGAGAGTGACCCAGGCATGTAGTCTGTACAGCCTACTCCTTCCATT